TACATACATACAAACATGTATGCATACAAACATACAAGCATACATACATACATACATACAAACATACACACATACACACATACACATACATACATACATACACACACATACATACATACATACATACATACACACACACACACACACATACATACATACATACATACATACATACATACATACATACATACATACATACATACATACATACATACATACATACATACATACATACATACATACATACATACATACATATCCCTGAAGATTAAGCTGAAACGTTTTCCTGTCGTGAATCGTGAACATTCTGTCGTATCTTCACTGTTGAAGCTTCCTCTTTACATGACTGAATGACAGATCAATTCACATTATGACGTCACAATAGTGATGATTGTACTGATAAACGCGGCGTGATAATGGGAAGCACTGTTGACAGGGAGACTGGCATATGGGGTCCAGATATCTCCTCGCATGGATTATTTCCCACATAAAGTAGGGCATTCCCCACTCAAACATTGTTCAGGATATCTTTTCAGATACATGTAGCGTTGATTACGAGCGGATGTTGGACATGGCGGGAGTTCTCACAAATGGGAGTAGACCGACATGGCGATATACTACAATGACTGCAGCTTGGATTTGTGGACCATGTAGATATATACAACCATATATACTTAGTCGGAATAATAATCAGTAAGGTTAAGGAATATTGTGCGACGTTAAACAACATACCAAGTACAGTATTCATAGAAGTAATTAAGTGAGTTTAGGAGATTTTGCTGGCTAAAGGAATGGATCGTCTGCATTAAATAAGACTATAAAATGTAGAAGTGAGTGAGTGAGTTTAGTACGCCGCATTCAGCAATATTCCAGCTAAATGGCGGCGGTCTGTAAATAATCGAGTCTGGACCAGACAATCCAGGGATCAACAGCATGAACATCGAACTACGCAATTGGGATACGATGACATGTGTCAACCAAGTCAGCAAGCCTGACCACCCGATCCCGTTAGTCGCCTCTTACGACAAACATGGGTTACTGAAGATCAATTCTAACCCGGACCTTCACGAGTCAGTAACGTTAAGGTATAATAATCAATAAAATTAATTCCTAATGGTAATTACTACTTAACGTTGATGTGCTGTCAGTAGAACAGTACATGTGTTCACATGTTAAAAACACATCCGTGTCCACATGTATCATTAACTCCCACGATGAAAAGAGGTTGAAGGGAAATTGAAGCTGCAACACAGTTTAGGATGAAAACGTTTTCGAAACTGAAGATGAATTTGAAGAATTTAGTGATTTCGATAATCTTAATCTCGGTTTCAAGTACTGACGATGGTAGCGTATATGGTGGGCATTTAACGCAAATGTTTTGTATTATTATACAATCTGTTAAAACAATGAAATGTGATAAAGTATATCAAATATAATTAATCAATACGTGTGATACGACGATATATGGGAACATATTGTTGACGCTTTAGGAAATGTGAATAGGGATCTTATCTCTTCTTTAGTAATGATAAGCTTAATTTCTGTTTTGTATCGAGTAGATTTTAAAATGATAGTGAGTGAGTGAGTTGAAAGGCATTCAGAAGTTGGAGCAGTAAGGGAAGATAACAATATATGGATGAACAACGTCTTTATTACAGTGAGTGAGTGAGTGAGTGTGATTTTACGCCGCTTTTAGCAATATTCCAACAATATCACGGCGGGGGACACCATAAATGGGTTTCACACATTGTACCCATGTGGGGAATTGAACCCGGGTCTTCGGCGTGACGAACGAACGCTTTAACCACTAGGCTACCCCACCGCCCTTATAAAATAATAAGAAATAGTAAGAAATGTTCTGTCCTTTTGTAAGCTGTACATATTTTTTATTTTGTATAACAAAGATCTTAAAGGTTTTCGACATGCGTAATTATTTGACAGGATATTTTTCTTCATTTGTAGGTCACTCCGTCAAGTTATTAATTGGGCGGCAGTCAGTCTAACTCGGACTAACCACACATCATATATTATTATAAACCACGGCTCACCCACATTTGACGGCATATAAAGGACAACCGATGTCACAATACCAGATACACCCAGCATACATTCCTACATCCCTTCTCATATCTAGGTGTGTTGACAGCGAGAATCACGCGGCTCCTTGGCAGGGCAACTAAGTGTAGATTGATCGACGATTTAGAGCGCGGCAATACATAGCGTGTATTCTGCGTCTAATGTAATGAAATGCCTGCCTGCATTCCTTAAGAGACATAAGTCACGCTATGCTTACAGGCCTTGTCATATCAAGGATATTGCTTCACGGGAGATAGTGCCAGAATTACAAGGAGAATCTGTGTGACCTGCCCCCAGTGCCTAGCCTTTCTTGAATGTTGAATGTAGATATCGATCAAAATAGGTATTAGGTAGCACCCATGCAGTATAAACGATAAAAGTTCCAAAACCTTTCATATGGATTGTATCTGTATTTTAATATGACCTCGTTTTATGAGTTAAGTCTCACGTGTCGCTTATAATATTCTGAATAATACACAATAATATGTTTATGATGTAATACTTGGTACAGATTACTGTATTAACTGCCATTTGTTTTCAATGTATAAAGTAAAGCATTTGTAATAGTCAATATCAAATACATTTATAATAATATGATAGCATGCAAAAGCACGTTTCTTAAATCATAATGTGGCGCCCTCAAAACGTAGTCTGTGTCTTCCATATATATATATGCAGATAAAAACACGGTTCTTGTGTAGTGTATCTCACGGACTTCATCGAGTGAGTATGGTTTTACGTCGCATTTAGCAATATCCCAGCAATATCATGGCGGGAGACAATAAATGGGCTTTATACATTGTCCCCATGTGGGGAATTGAACCAGGGTCTTCAGCATGACGAGCGAACGCTTTGACCACTGGGCTACCCCACCGTCCCTTGACTTCATTGAGATGAGTAAGTGAGTTTGATTGATCCAGTATCTAAGCCATATCACTGCGTGTCAGGAGGGATGAGGATGAGGAGGGAAGCATATCCACAACACGATCCGATATGTACTGACAAGCCTGGAAACGCTCTCTCTGAACACTCTTAATACATCCGTGGTGATTCAAAGTATTGAATGCTTGTAAAACCCAACCGTCTCTGGCATAATGCAATGCAGTAATCACAATTAATCTCCATTTGGCACTGGTTATCCTCATGTTAACAGAGACACCTTTCTGATGGTGCTTCTCGGGAGAAGCTGCCAACAGGCAAGCAACAGAATAATCACGGTGAGCACAAACAGAGGGAAGGGGAATATTGCCAGCATGATCACAACGGCCACAAACATCCATGCTGCAAGAAACACCTCGTCATCGGGCACTTCTAAAGCCATGAGATTGTCCACCAGATCTTTAGCTGTCACCCGATTGTGGAAATCTATCACCAACATTGACTCAATCAGTTTGTACATTGTTACATCATGGATGTGCTTTTTAAGCTGGTCTTTGATCTGCGCGTCTGTAGCTCTGTAGAAAGGCGTTCCCCCTTTGGCCCAAGGGGTCAAGCGATTGTCAGATGATGTTTCCTTTGAAAAGAGCAAATAAAATACTATTCCTAGCGAGAAGACATCACAGGATCTCGTGTACTGTCTATTTTTCACTTCAGGTGCAATGAAATACGGAGTTCCACACAATGATTGGAAATAGAGTTCTTCTTGACCCACCCCATTGCTTGGTCCGGGATCAGAACCAGCTATTCCAAACCTTGCCACACCAAAGTCCGAAATCTTGCATCTTGGAATTCCATATGGTCCCTTTACCATTAAGATATTCTCAGGTTTAATGTCTCTGTGGACGATGTTGTTGCTGTGTAGATGGTGCAGACCTTTCGCCATGTCCAGCATGAGGGACGTGGCGACGTCTTTGTCTGGTCGGTGGGCTATAACGTAATCCTCAAGTGTCCCTAGCGCGCAGTACTCTAGGACAATGTACCAGTTGTACTTTGTCTGAAAGGAATCAATGAACACAACAATATTATCATGCTTTGGTATCGATTTGTGGGAATCTACCTCCATTTGAAGAATCATATTGTCAACTTTGGCACCGATCACAATATCCTTCATGGCATATTCCTTCCCCCCTTTCTCCACTTTGTACACATCTCCAAAAGCTCCGGTTCCAAGAGTCGAAAGGATTTTATAATCCCCAATACGGTCCGGATACATGTTGAGTTGACGAGCAATCAACTGAGGATCTCGCGCCAGTCCCATAGAGAAGTCGAAAGCTCCCAACACCACCAAGATTCCTCTGCGTTATAACCTTTCACATCCGCGTCAGGCGAGTATATATCGCAGTAGACCAAATAAAAAAATTGGGACAGTTCTCCAACACGTTCTGTACACTGTGTTGTCCCGTCAGCCAAGTGCATTGATGAAGCATTGGCCTATTTATATCTCTGGGCTATCCCTTAACGTGAATGTTCCGATTCGTTAGAAAACGCGTCTCACACGCTCAACCAAGCGTTGTAAGTATGACTTCAAAGGAGAGTACGCTGGATGCCCGAGTCAACATTGGCTGTGTCCCAGTTGCCTTCTTTCAAACATTAACACAGGCCGATGAGTCATCTGCGGAACGGCTCGGTCCTTTGTGGTGAATGAGATCAGCTGTAGTCAACGTCATAGCCGTCCACGTGGTCTTGTTCTAAATATGTTAAGTAGACTGACAGGGTTTGGTTTGTATCTCTGTCCGATCTAGGTAGAGGCCCACATACCGAGCTGTACATACTGTATTGCTCTGCTCTCAATGTAGTCGATACACACCAATTGAATCAATATTGATTTATACTGCAACATATGTAGGGAGCCTAGATTCTGGTCACACACAGCGCGCATCTTACAAGACTGAGTCATCCCTTTAACCATTATAAAAATACAAAATATTCAACTGGCTGCGTTTCTTGTTTGATTTTAATAGGTATTAAACTGAAAAGCTTTTGGGAGGTTTCAAGCTGTGCTGTGCTGTGCATTTGTAGGGAACATGAGTCATTGACGTTGAACAAATCTGTATTTCCTAGTTCGTTGCAGCAACGTGATTTTTAAACATTAAATCCTTGTTCTCTTTAATGGTATTACTTTAAGTTATAACAGAGACCATATTATATGGTCTCTGGTTATAACATGTCCAGTCTTATCACGAGACAAATTTAATCCGGAGCTGACGGTATACATTGTATATATACAATGTAAATATCTGGGCCAGGTGCATCGGGACGGTGGGGTAACCTTATGGTTAAAGCGTTCAGACTGAACGCCCGGTGTCGATTCCCCACATGGGTACAATGTGTGAAGCCCATTTCTGCTGTCTCCCGCCATTATCTTGCTAAAAGCTGCGTAAAACCCAGCTCACTCACACACACACGCCAAGCTGAATTGTCTAACTTGTTTGAATGACGCCGAAGGAGGAGTAGCCTAATGTTGTAAGGTGTCAGGCACCTTTTTTGTGAACACCTGGTGTCATCACTGATATACAGTACCCAATTTGTTTAATATTCAACGCTGTTGTGCCATAAATGGAATTTGCTTCGTTGAATAATCGAGACTGAGCTATGCAATACCGTCGATATCGTTATGCTCTATGCAAATATTTATTGCATTGATGCCTTGGGTATCAGTTGTATCAATATAAAAGTGTCTTTTTCTGTTCTTGCCACGTGACCAGTCATTTCGGGTATTTGGGGGTGGGATATCTGTCAAAAACATTATTAGACTATTAAATGAAAGAAATATTTGTGTTTTCTACTGCATCTGAAAACAATATTATCCCCCCAACTTCTTTTTCCGCCCACAATCACCACCACCACTACCACTTTCCCCATCCTTAAGTGTGAATGTCAGAAATACGATTAAACACACAATATACAGCGAAGAATATACATTAATACTCTTCATAGTCAACGTCAGCGTCAAGTCAGAGATATTTAATGCATGTAAGCCCTCCGACCCATAAACATATATGCTCTACATACAGTAACAGTTTTATATGTACAGATATGCCCTATTGTTAACATTTCACTTCTAAGAGAAAAATAAAAAATGTATGAAAAATGAAGCCAGTTTTAATAAGGCAGCACACCCTTTTGAAGGAATAACAGCAGAGTATCTTGACAGTCATTCCTTTCTCGTGGATCTGGTAGCCGAGAGGGTAATAATAGTAATGTGTACTTCTATAGCGCTTAATTCCCTACACCAAGTGCATGCAAACAGACAGTTCATTATTACCCCGGATAACCCAAGCTTGCGAGGCGCAAGAAGGTTATGGTCACATGACTTATCCCACCGGGTACCCATTTTCTGCGGGGTGAACAGAACATGTTTGAACAAACTCACTTGCCTAAGGTGAGACCACACGTATCACATGTGCTTCATTGTGGGGCAGGGCTGAAGTCCTTGAAACTCTCAGGAGTCAAGCTGCCGAACACGGTCACCCATCCAAGGACTGTCCGCGCTCGGTAAACCGGATTCAATACCCAAAAAGGTTCAATGATTGAAGTCCATTACCGGTGTCCCCTGCAGTGATATTGCTTGAATATTACTTAAACTGACGTTGAACCCAACTCACTCACTCACTCACTCCCATCAAGATATTCCCTCACATACTCAGCATGAGCCCATCAACCCCCTAACGCCCCACACCTTTTTCTATAATATCAAAGGTGGTGGCCAGGTACATGTAGCCTTCATGTCCTGCTGTGTTATTAGTTGCCTCACGGTGTGATGAGTAAAATTAACTATCATTTAATCATTGAGTTTTTAAAAGAAATAGAATTGATTGATAAATTTTGATTTATATGTTTTGTGAGAGGGTACGTAAGTCCCCAAACTTCCCAAGTCAGTTTAGTTCTACACACCTTTTTAATCGTAGAATATTTGTTGTTTTATTCTGGCTAAATATCAATACAGTCGCCAGTGGTTGAAGGAATGGTATAAATCCAGCTAGGGTCCATGCAGGTAGCCAAAGTACTGTAAGTCCCCATGGTCCCTAGACTGGTGATCTACCTTCAGTCGCTGGCGATCCTCAGCCTTATTTTATATTGTATTGTCCTAATTTGAAATCCTGTTTTAGAGATATACGCTCGTTTTATTTCCTATTACTGTGATATACTAGTTGGTTTTACTGTCCTTCGTCGACAGGTTTTTAAAATTTGCGCATTTGTCATGAATTTATAACTGTCTTAAGTCACGATATGGCAGAAATACTGCCGCTGTGACTATAAACTTTAACTCACTCTAACTCACAGTGTGATGTAATTAGCATGTCCGGCATGGCGTAGAGATGTGCAGGATATTGTCTTTCGTTTCACACCACACCCATGTAACCTGTTAAACACTCACAGTCAAGCTGAGCGTAGGCTGAAGACCCGGGTTCGATTCCCGAAATGGGTACAATATGTAAAGCCCATTTCTGGTGTACCCCGCCGTGATATTGCTGGAACATTGCTAAACACTATACTCACTCACTCGATTATGATTAATGCAACTATTTGAATTTATAAGCGACATAATATGTATTTTGCTGTCATTATATGCAGTCATCGGATATGTTTATTGTCAGCATCCCTTTATCATGCCAGGATCCGGTGTACGTGGTCAAATTAACACGATTTTGATTGATGCGAGGCTTCTTTAATTACTAAATGAGATATGGTTCATGCTTGGAGAATTCGGAACAGCATTGTTAGCGTAAGTGCTGGCACCATTATGAACGGTACGGTCACGGCAATTTGTAATCCAGAAAACAAGAAAAAATACACAAGTGGGCATATTAACCGTCACATTCAAAGCCCCGATGATCAGTGCAACGTGTATGAACCGGTACTCAGTCAACACAATGACCACTGACGCTGGTAATGTCAAAATAATGTCAAAACCTCACGCCACGCTCTGCTCTTTTGCTTAGTATCTCTCTCTCCCTCTCTCTCTCCCTCTCTCTCTCTCACTCTCTCCCCCACTCTCCCCCCTCTCTCTCTCCCTCTCTCTCCCTCTCTCTCCTCTCTCTCTCTCACTCTCTCTCTCTCTCTCTCTCTCTCCTCTCTCTCTCTCTCTCTCTCTCTCTCTCTCTCTCTCTCTCTCTCCCTCTCTCTCTCTCTCTCTCTCTCTCTCTCTCTCTCACTCTCTCTCTCTCTCTCACTCTCTCTCTCTCTTCCTCTCCCCCCTCACTCTCTCTCACTCTTCACGCACAAATATATATTTTTCATATTTATACACATGACCCGTACAGATGCGATTAATCTAAAGTATTTGAATCTCATGTGAGTGAGTGAGTGAGTTCAGTTTTACGCCGCTGTTAGCAATATTCCAGCAATATCACGGCGGGGAACACCAGAAATGGGCTTCAGACAATGTACCCACGTGGGGAATCGAACCCGGGTCGTCGGTTTGCCGAGCGAACGCCTTAACCAGTAGGCTACCCCACCGCCCCTTGAATCTCATTTAATCCCCTACGTTGTACTGTACGGCCCACCCGATAATGCAGGGATATAACTACGTGTATAGTTACACAGGGCTATACTGACAACGCCCCGTTATTCTATAAATATACGCCGTCTTATGTGATAAGCTGTGTCAATAGAAATTTGTCGAATTGTCCCATTTACTGATAACAGTGTTAATAATAGTGGGTCTAAATCAGCTGATAATCCCATACATGACATCAGCATTCTGTTTCTGACAGCATGCCAAAACAAATATATTCAGGTATAGACTAGGCCCGATTCTGGAAAAAAGGCTCAAATAAAAAATGTTGAGGCACATTTTAGTAGGATTTGGTATCCAGGTTATTTAACCTATTTAAAGGGTGCTGATCACGAAAAGATTAGGATACCAAAATGAAAAAGGTGTTTTTGACCCTCAAAATTGAAAAACAAAATGGCTGCCAAAATCGCCTTAAACAGTGGTAGGTGTGCACAGTATTTTCACCTGTGACTGTATCTCTATTTTTATAAGTTTTGGAAACTTGACCTTTTATGACATTTAAAGAATGCTGATCATGAATAAATAGGATTGCAAAATGTTTTTTGGGACCTCAAATTTGAAAAACGAAATGGCGGCCATAGTCACCGCAAGTAGTGGTAGGTGTGCACGGTATGTCATCACCTGTGACTCTATATTTATTTTCTAATTTGTTTAAACCTGACACTTTATGACATTTAAATCGTGCTGGTCACGAAAAAAGAGGATACCAACTGAAATTTTTTGGTTTATAAACCTCAAAATTGAAAAACAAAATGGCCGCCAAATCATTTTGCAATTCCCTTCTGTCTGGGACAACTAAACAGCAGCTTAACAAACGACAACCAGTTCAAAATACTGCAGCAAGGATTGTTGCACTGACTAGGAAATCAGAGCACATCACTCCTGTTCTCCACAGCCTTCACCGGCTCCCTATGGAACAGCGTATCAGCTACAAGCTCCTTTGTCTTGTCTTCCAGTCTCCGGTCGGGTCAGGCTCCTCCTACATATCTGATCACCAGCAAGAACTGTACGTTCCAAAACCAAAACCCTGCTCCATGTTCCCATGGTAAAAAAACATCCCACTATGCGGAGAGAACATTTGCATATGCAGCCACTAAAGCTTGCAACTCCCTCCCCGAGTACCTGAAAGACTGTGAATCTTTGTCATCGTTTAAGACCCAACCCTGTTCAGACTTGTCTTCTCTGTATAACTTCTCTCATCTCCTGCGCTTAGAGCATGTACTGTGCATGGATTCAGCGCGTTACAAGTGGATTATTATTATGTTTTACAGATTAAAGATAGTATGCAGCAGAGAGGGTTCGGGTGATCTATAATTATTATTATTATTATTAAACCTGAGTTGATGCCACCAACAAGAGATGCCCTATGCCACCACAACCAGCGTGTCCATTACCAAATCATGATCTGGAGGAAAGTTTGGGAAGCTATTCCATCACTTCCCGAATTCACAGAGATGGGTTTGTCACAAAGATGCTTATTCAATGAATCTTTGAATATTGTGCAATGTTGAACTGAAACTTGTTTACGGTTGTGTTGACCAAATTATTAAACATAACATGAAAAAATTGAAATTCAGCTGGTATGGTTCAGCTGATATATTGTGTTGAGAATTGTTTGTTAAAGTTTCATTGATTATCCGTCAATACCGTTAAGGTAACAATGATGTAATCAGCACAAAATCAGCTATTTCTGCGGCCATTTTGTTTTTTCAATTTTGAGGTTCATTATCAATTTCTTTTCAGTAGGTATTTTACCGTTTCGTGATCAGCACCATTTAAATGTCTAAAAAGGTCAGCTTTAAAAAATAGAAAATAAATATAGAGTCACAGGTGATTGCATACCGTGCACACCTACCACTACTTGCGGTGACTATGGCCGCCATTTCGTTTTCAAATTTGAGGTCCCAAAAACATTTTTCCTTTTGCAATCCTATTTATTCATGATCAACATTCTTTAAATGTCATAAAAGGTCAAGTTTCCAAAATTTACAAAATAGAGATACAGTCACAGGTGAAAATACTGTGCACACCTACCACTATTTAAGGAGATTTGGGCGGCCATTTTGTTTTTCAATTTTGAGGGTCAAAAACACTTTTTTTCATCTTGGTTTCCAATTTTTCGTGATCAGCACCCTTTAAATAGGTTAAATAACCTGGATACCAAATCCTACTAAAAATGCCTCTTGCATTACTTTTATCCACAATCGGTCCTAGTCTAGTAAGTGCGTGAAGCCCGGACACCCTGCTGTGTTAGCTATCGAACTATGCCACACAACACCATACACAGTAACTACAACCATATGGTAACAAAACTAAATTGTGAACATATTGTCTCTTGTGTTGCAATAGCTTTAGGCTTGTCGTGTTCATCTCGGAGTATAAACTCTCGCATATATGCAATGTTAAGTGGTGAATACGGTGAAGTAACAATCTAAAATCAGATTTAAGCATTGGTTAAACAGATGCTCTCTCTCTCTCTCTCTCTCCCTCCCTCCCTCTCTCTCTCTTCTCTCTCTCACACACACACTCTCTCTCTTCCTCGTCTCCCCCCAACTCACTCTCTCTCACTCTCACACACAAATATATATTTTTCATATTTATACACATGACCCGTACAGGTGCGATTAATCTACAGTATTTGAATCTCATGTGAGTGAGTGAGTGAGTTCAGTTTTACGCCGCTGTTAGCAATATCCCAGCAATATCACGGCGGGGAACACCAGTAATGGGCTTCACACATTGTACCCATGTGGGGAATCGAACCTGGGTCTTCGTCGTGCCGAGCGAACGCCCCCCTCCCTCTCTAAACTAAATTGTGAACATATTGTCTCTTGTGTTGCAATAGCTTTAGGCTTGTCGTGTTCATCTCGGAGTATAAACTCTCGCATATATGCAATGTTAAGTGGTGAATACGGTGAAGTAACAATCTAAAATCAGATTTAAGCATTGGTTAAACAGATGCTCTCTCTCTCTCTCCTCCCTCCCTCCCTCCCCTCCCTCCCTCCCTCCCTCTCTCTCTCTCTCTCTCTCGTCTCTCTCTCTCTCTCTCTCTCTCTCTCTCTCTCTCTCTCTCTCTCTCTCTCTCTCTCTCTCTCTCTCTCTCTCTCTCTCTCTCTCTCTCTCTCTCTCTCTCTCTCTCTCTTTCTGGTTTCACCAGGAAGGAAACGTTATCTATTTCCGTGTTAATTTGGTTACTGCTTTTACTATAATAACCTTGGTGCAGTGTTAATTGCGACTCCCGGATATTCTATACGTATGAGACTGTATGGCTCGTCACCGTTGAAAAGTGATGCCCATTTTAGTTTACACTTGTCACCTGTGAAGCCAAATAACACCAATAACACACAAACAAAATCACAAATCAAATTTATTAGCTTGTGCAGATTGTCTCCAAATGGTACAAACACAAATATAATATCAGTATTGCGAGTTCTGCACTATAATTTCTACAGAGGTGGTAGCTACAGAATGCCTTTGTTGTACAGCTGATTCTTGACACCAACATTGCGACCAATAATACAGTGAGAATTACCCATATACGGTCAGTTAATCAAACTTGACAACTTCCCGATATTGTAAACGTGCATTTTAGCGACAGGCATTGATTAATCGCCAGTTAAATACACACGTTTTATTAATGTTGAGAAAGGTACAATATGACGTCATTCACTATTCACGGAGACACAATTTACTAACATTACCTCATATAAATAAAAAAAAGACATCAGTGAGGTTTCCCTGCAGAGTTGACTTTTGATTATTTTTTTCGTCGCTAACTCTCTGAACATGACAATAAGGAACTGAAACTCCCCACACAAATACAGATTATGTCCCTTGGGGGAAGCTTCCCTTTGTCGCTTCTATTTACAGTATTACGTGAATTGAGACACATTTTCCTCTTTCATAGTTGTATATATATATATATATGTATCCGTCAGGTTTTGCTGTATCATATCAACTAAATCAATAGTATTAAAAATGTTTCATGAATACATTCCACTCTGCAATAATATCTTGCTCGCATTATCCCATGTCGACCACACCCTCAATGCTCATTTTGCTAAAGTAGGCACTTCTGATTACTGTCGACAATCGCTGTAATGATCAAATTCTAAAAAAGCAAAACAAACAACAACAACAACAACAAAAACAACACCCGCAACTACCTTTCAGTAAAGTGTATTATGTACACAAATGAGCGGAAGATTTAATGCCTGACTGATTTCATTGTTGTATGCCTACCGATAATATCAACACTGTAGCTCCACACCGGTGTTTAAACATTGATACCTCAACACGCACTGTGCACTGCCATCACGTTATGTGATCGATAACGTATCCGTAGATCGATCAATACTTCCACTACCGGTGCATGGTATAAATATTCATGATTTGCGTAATTATGCTGTACAAAAACTGTACATGAAAGGTGTTTTTGAAGCGGCTTTGTAACGGTGTTAGAACCTACACTGAAACGTCGCTCTCACTGTAAGGAAGACTTTGTTCATCAATATATTGTTATCTTCCCTTACTGCTCCAACTTCTAAATGTCTCTCAACAAATTGCTGATCCTTTTCGCGAATTCCTGGTGTTATCACAAACTTTCATATTCATATCACGTAATTTGACTGTTACGCCCAATCTAATTTCTTTCGACGGATAATCGATACTGTTTATTCAATGGGCTGACGTTAATGTTTAATCAGTGAAATATGACTTTACTCAAATTAAAATCAATTATTTAAATTACATCTATCCAGAATTTGATAAAAAAATAGGGTTTTGTATTTTTAATTATATGAATAACAGTGTTCTCTTCAAAACTTTACATATGGGCATGAGTTGAAATTATCTACACTTCCGTACTCACCTTAATATAAATACAGACAATAATCTACACAGTTTGAAATGTCAGGTTATCACTGACCAGTTTCAACCGAGTGACTAAAAGCGAATCGTAGTATCATACCTATTCCACACAATCATTGAATTCAATGCTCTTAGTTTTCATCAGTCATGTATCTATATATATATATATGTATGTTCACGGTTAAGACACAATTGTGGGTATCAAGGCTCAAGATGTTCAAGATAAGCCCCGAAAGAATCCTTTGGGAACAAACTGCCAACATCCCAATGTCAACAGGGCAAGAGCTAGTCCGAATAACGGTGCGGGGAATAACAGGAACATGAGACTGACTGCCGCGAGGAGGCAAGCCACGAAGAATACTTCATCATCAGGGACGGCCACACGTAGAAGTTGTTCTTCCAGAGCGGAGGCAGGTGTTCGGGAGTGATAATCTGTTTTGAGCATTGACAAAATCAACTCACAAATCCCTTCATCGTGTACGTACTTCTCAATTTGCTGTTTGATTTCGTAATCTGTAGCTACGTAGAACAGTGTTCCGTTTCTGACCCAAGGTGATAGTCGTCCATCTTTGGTTCTTTCCGGCGAGAAGAGGACATAGAAGACCACACCAAGAGAGAAAATGTCACAGTGTTTTGTATAATGCTCGTTCCGGACTTCTGGTGCAAGATAGATGGGAGTGCCACATAGGGTATTGAAGTACTCCTCGCCAGCCAAACTGCCCAAGGCGTCAAATTTAGCATCAGAACCAGATGGAATGTTGATGATTCTTGCAACCCCAAAGTCCGATATCTTGCATCTTGGCGGCCCGTGTGGTCTTTCAGCAAGCAAAATATTTTCTGGTTTGACATCCCTGTGTACAATGCCATTGCTGTGGAGGTGGTTCAATCCTCGTGCGAGATCGACCATGAAGGACAAAGCTGTGTCTTTGTCAGGGTTCTTCTTAATCACGTAGTCCTCTAAAGTTCCACGTTCACACAGCTCTAGCACTATGTACAAGTAACCATTCACATGGATGCTTTCAATGAACTCTAGAATGTTTTCGTGCTTTGGGAGGGATTTGTGAGATTCAACTTCTCTCAGTATCCTGTCCATAGATATGCCCCGGAACACATACTTAGTGCAGATACTTTTCAGTGCGAAACGCTTCTTGTCTGTTCGGCGTTCTCCCATGAACACCTCCCCGAACTGTCCTTTACCCAACAACTGAAGTTTCTGGTAGTCACCAATCCAATCGGCTGCCATCTTGATTTCACCTTTCACAGGATCTGTAATGGCGTCTTGCTGTGTTATTCAACGAAGCGGAGCTATTTTCAGACCTTCAACACACATTAAACACTGCGAAGATAGAGCGATCCCTTTCGCATTACAAGGTTGGTAATGGCGTCTAGTTGTATTACTTGACAGCCGGGGCTATTTTAAGATCAAGGGCACACATCTACAGCTGGACACCTTACCTACACTTGGAAGGCTACACTTGCGACCCCTGACAAATACCTGTGCAGACAATGCGCCGATCTATTTGAGTAACACGCGTCTACCTGTATATACATGTTCAGTAAGGTCACCGCGACACTGACATGTAAATATACAGGAGCGAAGGCATATCAAACAAGTCTATCAGTAGGGTGGGGGATAATGTTGATTTTTCTGTTTTGTATATGACCCGGATGTTACTTTACTCCCTTCGATGGAGATATGCATGGTTATGAGCTCCGCTGGTGACAGCCTGGTCACGCACGGCAGAGCGTGGAAGGTCAATGAACACCACGTATATATCTTGCAAACATTTAATGATCGAGTAAGTATGGGTTTACACCGCTTTTGGCAATATTCCAGCAATATCTCGGCGGGCGACACATGAAACGGGCTTCACACTTTGTACCCATGTGGGGAATGGAACCTGGTTCTTAACCATGACGAGCGGACGCTTTACCATTAGGCTAAGCCACCGCCTCCACGTCATGTAAATGAACAAAACCAAGATAGTCTCCTCCGATGTACAGCGAGTGAGTGATTGAGTGAGTGCGTTTTAGTCTCATCCCAATATTTTGATGCAGAAGGATAGCACGAAGTGAGCGAGCGAGTTTAGTTATACGCCACACTCAGCAATTTTCCAGCTGTATGGCGGCGGTCTGTAAATAATCGAGTCTGGACCAGACAATCCAGTAATCAACAGCAGGATCATCGATCTGCAAAATTGGGAACCGATGACATGCGTCAACCAAGACAGCGAGCCTGACCACCCGATCCCGTTAGTCACCTCTTACGACAAGCATGGGTTGCTGAAGATCAATATTCTAACCCGGATCTTCACGGGTTCGGATGACTTGACTTCTCGTTAACCTAACTGACCGTTTCAAAATGTATGGATGACTTCTATTGGCAAATATTAGATGCCGAACTGCAAAAAATGCATTCTTAAACAGTGCTATGCATGCTGTCTTCACATAATTTGATTGTGGTCATGGGAGTGAGTGAGTGAGTTTAGTTTTACGCCACTTTTAGCAATATTCCAGCAATATCACGGCGGGGGACACCACATTGTACCCATATATGGGGAATCGAACCCGGGTTCCCGGCGTGACGAGCGAACGCTTTAACCACTAGGCTACCCCACCTCCTCGTGTTCATAGGACATTAACAACTGACAGACGATCACAAGAGACGTAAATCATCAAATTTTGAGTGAACATAGCAATATTCCGACGATCCTGGATCCTCAGAAATGTGTATCACACATTGTAATAATATTAATGCGGGGATCGAACCAAGCGTAACTATATCGATCACTTTAACCACTATGCTACCCAACTGATATCATAACATTGTTTTCTCATAAAAAGGTACGGATAAATAGAGAATCTCACCCAAGTGTCTACTGATATCAATTATATCCACACGAGTTGATAAAGTTACAAATATCCGAGGCTTGCCGAGGATATTTTTACTTTTATCAATGAGTGTTGATATAATTGATATCAGTAAACACGAGGGTGAGATTCTATTTATCATCAAAAATCATTCTTCATTAGTTTTCAATGAAAAATGTACATATCTCAACTCTGTACTACAATTAGATTTGCAATGCAGCGATGTCATAGCATTGTGACGTCATCAAGTTGATGATATCTTAGCATTGTTAGGACATTGTACAAAATCTACTGTCAAAACGATATCTCCTAGGAGATATCATATGATCTCACACAAGCGATATCTCCTGTGGAACACAGTTTTGGATGATAAATATCTTTACCTCGATTGAACGTGAGGACAATTTTGGTCCGGCAGACTCCTGACCACTGAGGGCGACTTTTCCCTCTCTCCACGTCTGTCTAGTCTGGTCAATGTCCTAGTTTGGCTGGAATGCTGAACGTAAAGATACCAGCACTCATAATTTAGCTCTCACAATATATACAGCCGCCTTCATGGCGTTGTGGACACATGGGTGAGTAAGTATTGTTTTACGCCGCTTTTAGCAACATTCCAGCAATATCACGGCCGGGGGCAGCAGAAATGGGCTTCACACATTGTACCCATGTGGGAAATCCAACACGGGTCGTCGGCGTTACGAGCGATCGTTTTAACCAGTAGGCTACCCCACCGAGCTCAATGGTCAGACGTAACACATGTTATATTTGGGATTACACTTTTTCAGTAAAGTACACATTCTAGTACTTTTGTTGGGTTGACTCCCATACGGGATTCGAACCCACACACTCAGAGACAGGCACCTAATCGACAGAACACAAAGTCAGCAGGCTAACCCACTTGGCTACCGTGTTTCCACAAGAGGTCGGACAACACACATGGCGACCTCTCACCCGGCTCAACCTGACACGGTGGTACGAGAATTCTTGAACACAGGGCCAGTAAGTCGGGTACTAAGCTGTTTCCCGGCTCCCTTTGCGATATGCAACTTGCGATATGCGAGACGGGGCCCCGCGTACTTCCGGTGACAAGCGTGTATTCAAGAACCAGTTCTGGTTCCAAATTGCGTGACCCCCAACTATGACTTAACTAGCCCGGACCAAGTGTCCAACCATGGCTGTCACATCTGTTGACAGTCGTAATAGTGGGCTAATTTGGGGATGGTTAGATCGGAAATTTGTTATTCCTGAAAGGATTATAGGATTCATTACTGACAGTTACCATTTGAAAAGGTATGAAACGATGTTTGTGACCGGAATTACTTAAGTCTCGCGAAGTGCCCTGATCTACTTACGGGACCTATTGTTAACAATTATTATTCTCAAACACCTGTCCAGCAACAGAAAGTATGTATATACTTCTACACCAGTTAATGGAATCAATCAACAGGTACGGTTTATGACTGCCAATGGCACCCCTTTCCAACATAGTCCCGATAACAGCTCACAGATACCAACTAAAAGACAAATTGAAGACAAATTATCATTTAACTTGACCTGATGAAAAGAGACATTAGCGGCATCAAGGCTAATGTAGCTAACCTGGAATTGAAAGTTGACTCTCTTAGCCATCTTGAAGATAAAGTCAAATCCCAAGAAGTGAGCACAAGCTTCACAAATAAATCCTTCGATCAATGAAAAGCAGGTAAAGAGAAAATAGAGTAGAATGTTTCCCCACTAATAGGTAAACGTTACACTCTGGGTGATTTAAAAAACGAAAATAAAAGTTTGAGAGAATCGTTAGTTGATCAACATTGTAGATCTATGCGCGACAATTTGATTTTCACCAGTATCCCAGAAGTGTCGTCTGCTAGCACTAGTCAGGATGCGGGAGACTATCTCAGAGATTTTAATTCAAAGGAACTCAAACATGACAGTTCACACTTGCCATTCAAACGTGTCCACAGAATCGGCCGAAAACGTGTACCTTCAAACCCAATCAAAGTTTTTGATTAGTAAAGAGAGAGATGCTGTTAAGGTAAGGTAAGGTAAGGTAAGGTAAGGTCAGGTAAGGTCAGGTAAGGTCAGGTGAGGTGAGGTGAGGTGAGGTGAGGTGAGGTGAGGTGAGGTGAGGTGAGGTGAGGTGAGGTGAGGTGAGGTGAGGTGAGGTGAAATTGGGATGGACGTCGTGCTTGAGAATATGTCGCTCATATAACGACGTGCATGCGTGTGTGTGTATGTGCGGCTGCTTGTACTAGCCCAGATTTAAGCTGGTTTTATAGTGCTAGCCCACTGAGATACCATGCCGCGGTGAAGCATGAATACCCCACTCAGACACATTATACTGACTCCGAGCCGACCAGTCCTTATTGTACCTATTAATGCCGAGCGCCAGGCAGGGACCAACAAGTACCATATTTTAACGTTTTTCGGTATGACGCGGTCGGGGATCGAACCCGCGACCTTCCGCACTCCGGGCGGATCCACAAAAGATTTTATGATACCAAAGATAAGTTCTGTTGGATTGAGATCGCAATGGTAAGGCTGTAAGCGTAAAGTTTCAAGGCCATGAGCTTTGAGATATCGATCTACCTTATAGATAAGTATTGTTTTGTGGCGCTTTATTATGTCATACATAATATTTTGTTTTCTCGCCATGCTACCATATCACTTATCCTGCTGTTGGATGTTGACGGTGTTGCATCTGATCCTGCACGCTATGATGTGGTGGGTTGTCCACAACAATTAAACGTTTCTGAGAAAGTACTGGTACCAGCTTTTCACCCGATTTAAGAAAACTTCCCTATTCATTTCAGTGTGGTAATCTCAGTAACTTCGCCTTGAACACGAGTGAACAATCAAGCAGAAACCCCACACTTTTACAACCTGCGTGTAACACAATGAGTCGCTCACCCTTGCCCAATAGCAGGCTCCTGTTACATGGTTCTGTACAAAAGCTATCTGCCCAGTGTGGGCTTGCAGTGTGGCTGGCGTTCATCCTTATTTCATACTAAAACAATGGTTCGAATCCATCTTAACGTTCTTGTCTGACAGTACGTACGATGTCAGCTATTTCACATAGCACCTGCCTGTTTTCCCCACTAACTTTTTTGTAACGAAACCAAATTTATGCAAAAGTTTCCACAACTGGTATTTGGATATAGTCAAGGAATGTTCTGTGTCCATGTGTTTTGGCAAAATGCGTAAGAATAGGAATTTATTTTTTCTATAGAGTCTTCAAGTAGCATTTCTTGCTAACTCTTCTGAAAACACTCAAGTTTGTCAACTTTCAAAAGTGGAGATTTTGATACGACCCCCTCAGTTGTGCTTGACTTGGTTGCACGTTGTCGCAAAACATTTTTCAGTTGTCTTTCAGAGAACCCAACTGCACATGCAGTGCGTTTAACAAATTTACTCAAATCATATTTAAGCCGACCCCTTTCACTTTCGCCTTTAAAAAATCATAAACTTTGAAAATGATGGGCTTGATGTCACACGTGAAGTTCATTGTTCATGTACCGTGTCAGTAAATCGATTGGCCATGCTTGATGTTACGTTACAATTGCAAGTGCCTACCACCCACGGAAAATCACAATAAAATGATGATAGTTTGTTCAAAAACGTTTTATTTTGGAGACAAACATTATGAAACTGTTTTTTCTCCAGAGTTTTCTGATGTTTTTATTACATTCTGCGCTGAAATGTTCATTTCGATTATTTGCGAGTGCGG